ATTCAGCTTTATGCCTAATGCCATGTAAAGCCCACTGGCTAATATGACACGCATATAGTCTAACCACCACTCTGTGTCACAGTGGATCGTCCATAAGCAGAATGGAAGATCTTCAGGGATGAATAATGTCTTCATACTCTGCTGTGTATCTGTGTTTGCATAAGGCAGGTGCAAGGGGTGGATTCAAGGGGTGGAGTCTGAAGCCATTTTGGCCTCCAACAAGTACATCTGTGCCTGGAGATGCTAGTGATGTCTTCAGTGATGTACTGAGATTACTGACAGAAGTAAATGTCAAGATTTGAAATTGGTTACACTCTAGGTTATAAACAATACTATAATGCTAACATGGAATTTATTAACATCGTATGTTTTCTGTTGGCCCTAAAGTTTTTATTTTTCAGAAATCAATAATAATTTTTTTTGGGGTGTATAATCATAATCATATTTTGTAAGCTATCATGGAGTAAGTCTACTTCAAATAGTCACAACTTAACTCTTAAAATGTCACCATTTAAACTTTGCACAATCACATTTCCTGGGAGTACAATTGCACCATCCATGACTGAAGTAAGAATGTTACAAACAGTGCCACAAAATTTCCTCAGTCCTTTTGCATAACAGCTAAGTATACCATGCTGTGTATAATAAACACATGTACTGCAAAATATGTCACCTTCCAAAATGAATTCTGAAATCCATTTGACAGTGTCAACCTGTTAACAGGTTGGAGAAAAGAGCACCATTAGATTTATTACACTAAGGGCTCAAAAGCCTAGAACACAGTGTCTTGGCTGAAAAAAAAAAATTCATTGTTATCCCCTCCATTTTTGAGAAACGAAAAAAGGGTCAGATATGAAGAGCTAAACACTGCAAATCGTAGTGAAAGAGGATCATGCAGCTGCTGCTTTGCCTTCCTCATGGACAAGGCGAGGTAGACTGACCTCAGGACTCTTCTTGTATTGTATTATATACAACAATTTAAGAAGAAACTCAATGATTAAAGCTTTTAATTTAATCTGCCAGATGACTGACTAAAGCTTTCAGAACTGTGATAGCATTCACAATTTGAAAGTCACTAAAATAAAACAGTGAGTAGACAGTAAGGGAGTTGAAGGTGTCATTCCAAACCCAGACTCGATGTTACAGGGATGTGAGCTTACACAGAACCAAAAATCTAGGTGCTGTCTTCATTCATCCTCCTTTTGTGATGGGACTAATTTGAAAATTCTTCTGGAGAGTAACAATATACGGAATGTTGTGCAAGAAAATGAATGCCTTAAAAAGATTCCTCTTGTAAATGTGACAGGTGCAAATCCTCCAGTAGTCAAAGTTCAGAAATGGAAGCAATTCCTTAGAAATTAATTTTAACAATTGAAAGTTATTTGGGGTAAAGTATGAGGGGGAGGGGAGCAATCTAAGATTATGACTAGAATAAAGCCCTTGCAAGCATTGATATTTTGTACTGACACAGTATTACACGGTACTGACAAGGCTGTGCTTTAAACTATTGTGTAAGATACCATCAAGCTAAACTAACTATAGATTCCAGTTTGGCTAGCGTAACACCAATGATTTCTTCCAGTACAGTTACAATAGTCAGGACCATTTTTTCATGTCTCTTATAGTTATGTTGGCAGGTGTTTGCTGGGAGCCTAGCTTTAGTTTACATTACAGACTCTTCATGGAAAGTCTGAAACACAGACTTCAATATGATGTAGAAGACACATCTTCTATATAGCCCAGATCAAAATGTTGGTTACTTATGTTTGCGCTGGAGAAAGAAGTTTTATTTTTCTTATACCTGTTTATGAAATAGCAGCAGCTTGGACCATGACATACAACTCAGCTGAGCATGCCCTGACACACCCAAGAAGAGCTCCCCAAATCTTCACTGTGCTAGTATGACTTGAGAGGGAAACATGGATATTTTTATGAAATGCCTAAGCATCTCTCATCAATTTGCAAGGCAATAAGCAGCCTTCTGTGGCAAGCCATGGAAGGAATGGTGTGGCAAGCCATGCAGGGAATGGCATTACTAAAACAAACCAAACAGGAATAAAGTTTCCCTTGTGACTTCTGATTAGCAATATAAGCGAATATCGGATCCAGATTCTGTGCTATGGTGTATTTGTCTTGGCCTGGCAAATTGCCCTTGAAATGAACTCTCTGATAACAGAAAGCTTGTGCTACAGCAACTGTTCTGCCTACTGCTCTCTGTGATTAGGGATCGCTGTTAAGACAAACGAGAAATGAAGCAATCAGAAAAAGGGATTAAAACTGTTTCAGACCTACTTCTGAGCAGGCTTAGTTTAGCATTTTTTCATCCTGTACAGTACATATTCCATAGCAATTTTGAAAACAGTATCATTTAAAAGTTAACATCTGCTTAGCTGGTAGGACCAGATAAAAGGTCTCATTTGTAATGAACAGGCAAATTTGTTATTGCCCCAGTCAATAGCTATTGACTTAGTAGAGCACTTCTGCTTATTACAATCAAATCCTTTTTCTTTTTTGTTCAATAGTCAATGACACTGTAATGGAAGGTACTGCTTACAAATTGATGCAATATATATCAGCAACTGCTAGAAGTTAATGACTAATGGTTACAAAGAGGAAAGCATGTGCTAAGAACAGCATTACACGTCTATTAATCAAATTTAGTGCATCCGATGTGCTTTTATAGGTTAGTGGAACTGTAATGCACATCAGATGAATAGTTTCTGCTGTTATTAATCTAAGTTTTAACACAAAACACCTTTTAATCATGCTATCATTACATAAATAATTTGGCTAGGACAAGGTTCTGTCTCACTTTTACAGCACACCTTTTAGTTATAGGAAATTTCTGTCCCGTTGTGGCTTGTGCAATCCTAGATTTAGGATTTAGTGAAATGCAAGGTAACTGTTCTGCTCCCAGCTGAAGCCATGTTATCCTCTAAATACCACAGATGGCGCAGTATAAATGCAAGGCAACATCTGAAAGATAAACTGGCAAAAGAGAAGCACAGCAGAGTGCATGTGTCCGTTGCTCAGCCTGTCTCCTAGCTTCTTCCCTGCAGCAGAACAGTACTGCACAACTTTGTCCTTGACACTTTATATAACTTGCACTTTCCATGTATTTTTTTCATTCTATAATTATTGCTGTAAAATTGTTTTATGTTTTATAAACCAAACTGCTTGACCCAACAATATTTTCTTTCAAAGTTTCTCTACATATTTTATATCTGAGAGAGATGCATATTTTTATCCGAGAGTGTGACTATAACAGTAACGCCTAGTATTTTTATATTACCTCTAAGCAAACATTCCTAAAACCAATAAAGTTTGTTGACTCGTTAGAGAAAAGCAGAACTGCTAATGATGGCTTCTTGACTTAAGGTTGTCTATAATCACTTTTCCTGTAGAACAGGAACAAATACTCTAATGTTGGAGCACTGATTTATCTGTTTTTTTTCTGTTTTCTTAATGCAATCTTCATTTCTCTCTAGACTGATGATGAGACATTACAGAAAGAAAATTTATAAATGTGGCAAAGATTAAACAATCATGCCATTGCCAAGTACATTATACTGTACTCTGTGTGCACCATCTAATTGGATTTAAACAATGTTTGTAAGTCACAGCCATTAGCCTTTTTCAGAAATGAGACATACACTACTAGATCCACCACATGGATCCTAGTCATACCTGTGATATTGGTTCATAAACTGCCCGTGTTGGTGAAGACTGGTGGAATTTAATTGCTGCTATACTGCTCATTATGAAGCAAGGAGCTAAATTCAATTAAGTTCCTACATATTTATATCTCTTGACAAAGATCTCCAATGCTGCTCAGCCAGTATTAACTTGTGTTCTTGTTTGTTGTCAGCAGAGCAGTTACTGACGGGAGAGCAATGGAAGAGACTAAGCTATATCTTTCCAGAAGTCTGCAACATAATGGATTCTGTTAGTCTAGTAACCAAACATTCCTAAATAATAATGAATTTATCCTTGCAATACTGTGTGAACTCAAAAAAAAAAGATCCTTTTCATCTTAATTTAGAACCATAGAGAGACAGATTTGAACAAGGTCATCCCGTAAACCTATTGAAATTCCATTCCAATGACATGAGTTCAGGAGCTATAATTTCCTCTTTGTTCTAGTACACTGTGTTTTCCAAACATAGCTTTTGATATTGTAACAAGGTGAAAACAGGAAATATTCATAACACATTTATTGTATTTGCTGTGACGGTAAGAGGACATCATTGTTTTATACACACAACACTTGACCTTTAAAATAAAAATATAAATACTGCAAATCAGGAAACAACACAGCTTAGTTGAGGCAATGATTAATTTTGAGTATACCTTATAAAGTTTTTAATTCATTACTGCAAAAAGTTGGCATTAAAGAAATTTCATGCATGTTAATAAGACTTACTTAATACTTAAATAATAACTAGATATTTCAGCGTTTCAGAAAAGCCATAACCCCGCTAAAAATGCTAGATTTCAGAGGCAAGGGATATCTCTTGGCAGCTGCAATAGGTATAAAGAGTAAGACATTTCATAGATTATTCTGGAATTTTAGTGAATCATTTGCAAGTGTACAATAAGTTTAAAAGAGTTTACATTTTATTTCTTTAAAATAGGAAATTGATCTCTTCTGGTACCAAAATCAGTAAAACACAACCAAATAAAGAGAGTGCTTGTGGGAAAAGAAGACTATAGCTGCTACCTGAATCAATGATTTGACTTCATTGTCAACTCAGTTACATTTATGGTTTTCTCTACTGTATTCTATTTGCCTATGGGCAAACTCTACAGTGCTATTTCATAAGAACCTGTAAAGACTTTATTTGAATGAGGAGGATTTTTATTAAAAAAAAACCCAAACCATTTCTAATTGAAAACAGATAGGCTATGAATCCATACTGAATATGGAAGTAATGCTTAATTTTGATACTAAATGACATAGAATGGGAAAACCAACAAAAAACCTATTAATAGTAACTTACTTTTTGTAACAACTCCTTCAAGGCGAATTATATTTGGGTGATCAAATTGTCCCATGATACTAGCCTCTCTCAGGAAATCTCTTCGCTGCCTCTCCACATAGCCACCTTTTAGAGTTTTAATTGCAACAGGTATCTCTCTTTTTCCTGGTGTCTTCAGACGTCCGCTGCATACTTCTCCAAACTCACCTTAAATAGATAAAATATTTGTTAGATCATTCACAGTGCCTGAAGAACTACAGTTCAGTTTGTATTGCTGAACATAAACACCTTATTTTTCAAAATAACCTTCAATAGCTGTCTTAAAAGCTTTTTTTTTTTTCAATAGTTCAGAGTTATTTGTAGTTGTTGGTGAAACAAGAATGCAAAAATATTCAAGAAACTCACACATCCTGTAGAAGTGGATGAAGAAATAACAGATGGGATATCCAAGTTCCTGAGTTTCATCACTTCCCAGAAAAATATTCAGCATTACTTCAAAAAAATAATCACCTTTCCTTTGTGCCACACCACAAGATCATGGGGACTTGTACTTTCACTGCAATAGCCAAACCATCTGCCCTCCACAGTGTGGTTCATCTTGCTTTACTGACACTTTGAGACCGAACTTTGATACCAATATGTTTGTGATATAACTGAGCATGCTATGAGGATGGAATGTAATGACACTTAGATTTTAATTCTAATGATGACAAAATCTCTATCTAAAGTATCTATTTATAGCAATAGCTATCTATAGGGGTGTCATGCGCTAAGATCTATGTGAAAAGAAATGCTGTGAGAATATCAGAATAGCAGACTATCCTCCAATTGTAGAAAGCATTTAAAATGTACTTAATGCTATTATGCCCCAGAAAAGCACTTGCACATGATTTATTTAAATGGACTTACACACCTACTTGAAATTAATTACATATTTCACTGTTCAGACAGCCAAAGGCCAACAGTTTCAGCAAATCAGGACTGAGCTGCACAACGAGAGGAATCTCAAATCTTGCTTCACCTGATATTTTCTTGTGTATGTAAGGGCCTTTAAAGAATGCATGTCTCCTCGCATTCCCTTTACACATTTACTAATTAAGTTTGTATGGAAATCACAACTTTCCTTTGATCCTGAAGCCACTCAAAATTTGTTTAAAGCCCCTACCAAATACACTCTGGATGCCAGCAGGTCAGTTTTCAATGGGCCATAATTCAGTAAATGAAAAACAATGTTCACAAAAATATTTCAAAGCACTTCTCAGTGCAGGGCACTTCCACAGCAAAACTAAATTCTCTATCCCAGTCATTTTGGAATCAGAACTGTTGAAAAACAAAAACCAAGTCATAAACAGATATAGATTTAACTGGAGGAAATAATTTGTTACCCCCTCCATTGAATGCTGTCTGAATTAGTTTCCCTTAAACTTTAAGGACAGAACAAAAGAAAAGAAAAGAAGAGAGCTCTATCCTTTAACAGTGTGTCTTCAGATATGAACCAAATCTAGAAGAGAGAGACCTTAAAGACAGAAGCTTCACTTCAGAAAATTATAACTCCCTGATGTTATGGGATTAGAATGGATATTGTCATACAGCTTTTATTTTATTAGGTTCTGTCGCTTCCACTAAAATAAAACAAGGTTTTATTAGCCAATAAGATCCAGGAAGAGTGGAGGGATTAAAAAAACAATTTCATAGCTTGTCTTTCACTTCAAAACAGAGACATCATCAAGTGCAAGAGTACAATTAACAGATGCTGAACATAACCTCTGAATAAATTAGCAGCTTCTTAAAGAACTAACAGAAGCCAAGTGTCCTAGGTCTTCTTTCTACCAAAAAAATCCCCATTTGTTTTATTTCTACCTAATTTTTTAAAATAAATCAAAGCATGTGCTTCCCTGAAGATGTGTGCGCATGTGTGAAAATGTATGTCATCAGACTAATGTTCTGGGAATCTTTTGACAAAAGGGGAAGTTGGGTAGGGATTTTCCTACATAATTTTGCCCCTTTAGCTCTTAGAAGGCTCTCCTTACACGTTTGTTTGCCTGACTACTGCCACTGAAAAAGTAGTAGCTAGTTTGGACTTCTAAAGTCCTACCATAAAACAAAGTCATGAAACCTGAATGTTTGGAAGGAGACATGGTATATCAAGCTTCTGTTCTGTGATACATCCAGCAGTGCTAGAATGCATCTCTAAAGCCATGACCTTATTGCACCTTACTGGCTTTTCAAACTTAAATGCCTAAAATGTAAAAAATTTCCAGTTTCTTCCTCTTGATGAAACAGTGAAAAGCAAAAATACTAGAGCCTTAATATACAGATTTTTGAAGAGATTTCATGATCAATAAATCTGCAGAACTGCAAAATCTAATTTTTGAGAATAATTTGGAAAGCATAGGTTATAGAATAAATCATTTTGCTGTTATAAGATTATACAAGAGTACGACAACTTCAGAATTTCAGAAATAATGGCATTCATACCTCAGGGACTGTAAAGGGCTGTTCATCAAGTGTTTTGAAATGAATTAAACTGAAGGAGGCAAGTGAAGGACTTACAATCCCAAGATTTATTACCTGTACAACATCCAAAGCAGGAGAAGGAACATCATGTCTTCTCCCTGACCTGTTTCTTTTCCCTTTTTTGGATGCATGATTTGTACAGGTAGAAAGAAATTTCAGTTCCCTTGGATGTTGGGATTGATAAACTGGTGAACATAAAGACGAAGAGCAATTTTTTTGTGACATGATGTCAAACAGACAGTAAGTGATCATCAGCTCACAGAACAGAGTTACTACATTTAGAAGTCTAAGGTATGTGTAATAACTTCTAGTTCTGGTTTCGACTAGATGGAGATCAATGATATAATTTAAACCATTGAACTATTTACGCTGAGAAAGAGTTTGACAAGATTTCATCCCAGAGTATTTTTTCTACATTTTTGTTCAGATAAAGAATTTTGAATGTTTTTAAAGTCAAAGGGGAATGTATTCAACAAAAGAGTTTTTTAAAATCTAAGAATCTGGCTCATTGCTCAAGTTTGAAGATAAACAAGACAAATGTTGACCCTGCAGCAGTAAAGGTTCATGACTGCATGTGTAATAAGTAGAAGCTAAGAGCCAGATGTCAATGAAGTCGACATCTTTCCTTGCTCCAGGGAAAAAGCTGGTGATAACTAGAGAAAAAGATAGACTTCATTGTCTGTTCAGTTTTAATAAAATGTAAATAATCCCTGGTTTAATGATATAAACCCCACACATCTTACTGTATGTTATACAAAAAGAAGCTAATTGAGCAGTCTAAAAACTTACCCTGTGCAAACCATGCATCCCTTTTCTCCTTCAGTCATAACATATGTGTTATTTAAAATGAAACAGCAATAGTCAGTCACTTAAAAGTCTGATATGCAGTCTGGTATTACTACATGGGATCAAAACAAATGTCTTACAACACAGACAGTTGGTGTTGATGGAACTGAAAGGTCACAGCACCAAATACAGCTGAACTCATTTTCCCTAGTTTTAGTCATTAGGCCTGTGGGAGAACTGGGAGAAGATTTAGCTTACAAAAAGAATATAGTGTACCCTCTGTGAAAAATCAAAGAGTTGGCCTCTTCCTTGAGTTTCAACATTTTAACAAAGAAAATAAGAGGATAATTGTAACTTTTAAGACAGACTTGACAAAGTACCTCTGGGAATTCCTTCCATGAAGAGTTGCTGAAGCCCTAAACCATAGAGCAAGAAGTGATGGGGCAGAAAAACGTGTCATGGACAGGAAAAAATCAAATGATATGATAACCTGTCAGTAGGTGCAAGCTCAATATGGAAAGTGGCTGAAAGGGACTGTCTGAAGAAAATCTACAGCAATGAATAGACGGCAAATTGTGGGAACCAGCAAAAAGGCACCCAGTGATCTTTGTAATGAACCAGTGGGAGATCTCATGGAGTATTTAATACTAGTGGTAAAAAAACCTCGGCCAAGAGGTTTGAATCCAAGAATATACAACATCAAATTAAACAATAGCAAAACTTTGTCATAAGTAGTGGATAAAATAAAAGGGAATGGACTAATGAATTTCACCATTTAAACAGTAACTATTGCTAGAATGTGAACTTCATTAATACCTATTTAGTTGGTTGATGTCACCATGAGAAGAGAAGCTAAGCACTTTAGGTGCTGTTTTGCCTTTGGTATTGTAATCTGCCTGCTATTATGAATATTTGATCAAACTACGATTGTGATTTTGGTTGTAAACTGTTTACCTACTGCCTTTACCCTCCAGTTTGAACCAAGATATCAGCAGAAGTTATTCAAAGACTAACAAAAGAGACAATTAATAGCTATTAACCTGGATAATCTTTCATTCAATCAAAAGGTCTCTGCAACAGTATTTTTTTTCTCAGATGAACCAGATGTAAGGTAGGAGATGGGAAGCCACTCAGGGGAAGTAACCTGATTATATATCCATCTTGAATATGGATTTATGTGCAGATATTGTTACTTTAATGCAGATCTCTTGCACCTACTCATGGAGTAAGTAAAGTATGAATAATTTAGAAAGGACTTTGCAAAGCCTGTATTTTACTTGCTTTATTTTCACCAAAGCACCAGAAAGAAGGATAGCAATTCAGAGAGTTTGCAGATGTACTGGAATGCCAAAAGCATGCCAGAGGGGAAGACTGGGAGAGCTGAGATGAAAGTTTCAATTAACTGGCTCCATAGAATATAGTGACTGCATTCAAAAACACCAGCTCAGTAAATGTCCACAAGGAGGACTTGAAAAAGGATTTTAACAAGAGATTGCACTAATTCATTTTTTCTCAAAGTAATCTTGGAACTCAGCATCCTTTCTTAAATTGTTGCTGCTGTGCATTTCCTATTATTACCTGCCTAATGATATGAACTTGCAATAGGAATGTTTATTAAATCTGCAACTAAATGTATAGACATTCTCTTTTTATTTTGGCTATGATGTCTTTGACTGTTGCAGGCCAAGTCTCATTTTGAACTTTGTAATTACTAAAGACTATTTTCCAATTCGCTGTTACTGCTTGAAGATCTTGCTACTTTTTCACTTTGACCATTTGTTGCCACCTGTTTTTAGTATCTGATGGAAAAACATCATTATGTGGAGCAATCAGTACGTAACCAACAATTTTAGATATTTGCTCTCTTTTTTTTACATCACGTAGTATGACCCTTATGTTACCAGTACGTGGCACCAAAGCAGCAGACCAGATTGTCTGTATAACATGGCTAATAAATGATTGCAGAGAAATCCCAATGTCTTGTGCAGCATTCAGATGTACCTGTACAACAGAGCGTAAGTAGGTGCATATGCTTAGGGGCTCTTAGATTTTGCACTTCTAAGCAGAGACTGAAATATAGGACAAAAATAATATATAGGAAGTCTTTGTTTTTCAGGTCTATAGCATATGTGTATCTGAGGTAAGTGGAGTGGTTAGGAGATTTTAACTTTTAACAGTGTTGTAATCAGAAATGAGATAATCAGTGGCTTTAGTGGAAAACACTACTTCCAATTTGATGATATCATCCTCAGATAGATTACTCAGGAGCAAATAATATAATGTACATTTCCAATTCACATCATCTAAGATTATAATTACCAAATACTTCAAAAGATAACTTGGGTACAGAGTTAGGTAAGCTGAAAAAAGAAACTAGAAAAAATAGTTGCCTTGAGTGTCAAAGCCATCTGCACTGCAACTAGTGAATTGTCAAGAGCTTTTGGACATGACTTTTTCCATTGAAAAACCAAATTGGAAACTGCTTTCAGGAAAAGATCAGTTTCAAAAATTTCTTGACCAGAAATGCTGGAAAAAAAATTTCAAATATTTGCAATGTTCTACTTTGACATTTTCAAAATGAAAACTTAGTTCTTGAATGGAAATAATTTTTGTTTTGAAAAATTAAAGTTACAGAAATTCAAAATGAAAATCATTGCTCAAAATAAAATGTTCAAACAAATCAAATTTAAGAAATGCATCTAATGATTCACTTCTTAAAAGATTTTAATGTTTCATTTTGTAAAAGATTTTAATGTTTTTTTTTACTTAGGTGAAAATTTTAAACAGTTTTTAAAAGTAATTATCCTATGATAAGAAAACCATTTTACATCTGGTTGCAATGTTTAATACAGAATTAGAGAGAAGGCACAAAGAAAGTTTTAGGACTGCTGTGAATTATAATGATATGTTATGTCCCCTAGCAGCTACTGAAGAACTCTGTGAGAATTTGTACTCTCCGTGCCTCAGGCATGGTATTTAACCTGTATCTTGCCTGCATGGAAATGGGTTTAAATTTCATTGTAAACAGTTTGCAAGTCCTGCTAGGCAAATATCTTTGAAGACGGCAGATTACCCAAGTAATTTTAGAAGACAAAAATGTAAAAATAAAATATGTGAAAGCAGGCAAAAATTCTCTCCCACGCATACAAGAAAAGGGAGAGAGTAGCTGAGTAAAGAATTTTCATAAATAAATTGAGACTAAAGACACAATTTTCATCTGATCTAAAAATCAATAAACTCAGTCCTTGTCTGTCATATTCAACTCCTTTGAAATCAGCAGTTTATACCAGTGCTGAATGTAGTTCAATATGCTTTATAATCTAAGACATCAATATCTACAGTATGTCTGAAGAAAAGGAAGAAATAAAAGAAATCAGATAGAGTGTTTTCTGCAGAAGTCAGCCCTCTGGGGGCTCTCTCAAGCTCATAATTCCAATGGTGCACAGTGCCAGATACGTATTATCTAGTTTAAGCAATCATGTAAACTCTAAAGTACTCTAGCGATATGGACTGCAGCGTGAGACAGAATTTTCTCTCTTACTTTCAGGTTGAAACTTTCTCTCTCCTGTTTGTTAACAGACCAGGTTTTATTTCTGTTATATTATTTGTGCGACGTTTTCTAGTGCATAAAACACTTTTTAGCAACACTGGAGACATTTGCATTGCTATCAGTGTAGTAACGTATCATTAAATGAGGGATCTCAACTGAAAAATACCTCTTCTTTCTTGAGTGACTAAGATATATGAAACAAAGATAAAAAAGAAGGATCACAGCGCATTATGTCTTCTGATAGTAGTTTTCCTGACAATACTTGCTAGCATGAGTTCTTTGGTGGACTCACTATAGGCAAATTAAAATAATTTTTTTTTCCACTGACCCCCTTCTACAAGATGTAACTCTGATTTTTGCAGTCTGTTGTACTACGAATTATTTTATTTTTTTCTTGATGGTATTAAAGTTAGAGAAAGTAAATAAGGTTAAAAAAAGCATTTCTATTTTGGCATTTACTTAGTAAATAATAAACCAGCATTGTTAGAGAAAGCCTGGAATGGATAGCTCAAAGACGGGCATTGGAGTATGGAACATACTTAATTATGGAACATAATTATTGCTACTGAAGTAAATTACAGTGAGGTGAAGACAGAACATCTGTGTAGTCAGTATTACAAATACCTTTAAGACAGCAATTTATAAAACTCAGTCACTCTTAATATCTTAAGGACATAGAGAAATATCTGTATTATGTAAACTGAGGCTAGGTATTGTGTTAATGTCTTTTACAGGAAAAAAAATAAATTGCAGAGCTGGAATTAGAACTCAGGATTCTGTTCATCAAAATTTCTGACACAGACCCTTAGCTCTCTCACCTTCCCTTTCTGTTGGGGCTGAGAAGTGATTAATGCTCCCCAGCCATTGACAGTGTGTAGGTAACAACACAGAGGATGTAATGGACCACAGGAACTTCAGACTCTCCTTGTCAGTCTGGTTTTTGTTTGAATTTGTTATAGCTGTGAGAAACATTGGTGGGCCTTCTGAATGACTTGTTGGTCATAAGTCATGCATTGAGATCCACTAGTTAGGTAACTTTTTAAGGCCCTTTTCTAGCCTTGTCTCTCTAAGTCCTGAGTAAACTACACAGGGTAAAACAGAGAAAACAATCTCAGGACTGTCAATAATGAAATACTATCTGCCCTAGAAAGTCAGAACACAAGTTACAAGAAATGGTTTTACAAGACTCTGATCTTTTCAGGTATTTAATTTTTGTTGTGTTAACCACAAAGGTGTGTTTTCTGTCACCACTGGGCTGCCACCAGGACCTCTAGTGAACTCTAGACAGCAGCCATGAGCCTTTATCCCTACAAAGGCTTTCCAAAAGTGAATGTGTGGGAACACTTGCACGGTACTTCCCTGAGTAGCAAAACCAGATAATTATACCACAGCTAAGACAAGGGGATAACACAATGCACAGAATGGACATGCCTGTAAACATAGCACATTAGCAAAGGGTAAGATCCCTGAAAACACAAGAGGCATGTTATCTCCCTTAGAAAAAGAGGCCCATATACATACAGGATTAATGAGCTTCTGAAACTTATTTTCAAACAGCTGTGAAATGGCCTACATCCCCAATGAGATGTTCTCTACTGAAGGTAAACACCCCATAGAGAAGAACAGGGTCTAAAACAATTGTTCAGATATAATTCCTCGCTGTTCCCACCACACGCTCGGACAAACAGGGGTGTAAGAGGAGAATCTGCAGCTATTTTTCCTGTTCATCCTGCTTCCCAGCTCCACATCACCTTTTATACTGTCTACACCTTCTCAGCAGAGCTTCCTCTTTCCCCTCTCTGCCAATGATCCTTCTCCACATGGCTACAGGGAAGCCTGTCCCACGCCACCCTCTCCTTTTCCCCCTTGTACTCCTATTTTCTATTTGCGAATATTTTTGGCTCAGTTTTCTACGTTCTGATCTTATCTCCCCCCAGAAAGAGATTCTGATCTAATCTCCCCCTCAGTGACAGAGAATATGTGACGCTAACTATGGCAAACGCTGAGTGACACAGTGTTTTCAGCACATTTGGAACAAAGCAAAAAAACCCCCAAACAACCCCCCCAAAACCCCCAAAACCAACCCTACCCAAAAAATTGATAAAGCCTTAAAAAAGGTTTGGGATAAACCTACCACTCTGGAGAATCTTCCTCTCAAGAACTCCTTATTTGAATATACCCACATTTGGAATATTAGCCAAATACAATATCTCATGTACACCACACTTGAGAGTGAACTGGTGCAATCAGAGAACTATGCCCACATTTTGTACTGTACTTGACCACTTGCCTTATCATGGTGACTTGAGAGAAGCAGCCTACCCATGCCTAGACATTTTTTGAAGTGGGTGTACTTTTACCTGCCCCAATAACTCTCTCAATACGAATCCTTGAAGGATCTATCTCCTTTGCAAACTCATGGACAGCAAGAGATGGGTCTTCATACGTGTCTGGATCAATATATGTTTTGATTCCTGGGAAACGTACTGCAAAAAAGAGAGAATACTAGGAATGAAGCATTCTTTGACATTCACACACTGTAACAATATGGTTTTCTCTTTTTTTTTTTTTTGTTGACTAGACAATTGAAAGGACTGGAAATAATATAGTAAATCTTCCTTTAAAGTTCCAGAACCCAACAGAAGAGACTAATGACCCAAAATTACTAATGCTTGCTACTGATTTCACAGAAACCAACTGCAGAATGCACATGAGTTGTCCCCATCTGGCAGCACCAGAGCCTTCAAAGATTGACTGGGCACAGACTTAAGCATTTCCTCTTATCCTTCAAGTGGCTTTTTTAGGTGAGGCTTCTGAGACATTGAAGAGCTGGGTGTTACAACTCCATAGACAGAGGATAAGCCTCTGGCAACCAAATACTAGCAAAAGCACTCAAAAGTACTGGCTGAAACTGTGAGCAAGGTCCTGCTGGACCCTGCTCAGATTTTCTGAGATGTTCTGGGTGACTGAAAGCATGGATATCTCTTCAGGATTGCTGCAGTGCATTGTTACATCAAACACCCTTTCAGCTTGCAATGATAACTCATAAACAGTGTTAGTGTAAAGAATGAAGGAAATATGGATATTAGGTTCTCTGAATGTTATTTATACTTCTAGTTACTGTCATGTTTGCTAGCTACACATGTCCCAGGGTTTAACCTGTCCCACAGGAACAAAAACTCAAAGGCCTTTAGAAGACTCAGTCTTTGGTATTCAACTGATAAGATAGTGTCAAACTCTTATGCTGTTTTGTCCCAGCTGAACACAAGCATCTCCTGAGGTATAGCATTTCAGGCAGGAAAGTTAAGAGGAGAATAAAGTTTTTGGAAACTTCTCCTTAGGAAAAAATAACAGCCCTAGCTAAGTTTTAAGGAAAATGCTATTTTGGGTAATATAAAGTAAATCTGATTTTTTTTTTTTTTTATTGTAAGCATTTCCTTTCCAAATGTTACAAATTTTAGTCTGAAGAGGCTCCTTGGAGTCTGTGCACTTAGCTCACATCCTTACTGAATGCTTCAAGTACAGCTGGTAAATCTGGAAAATGCAGCAAGCAAGAGAAAATATGAGCTCTGAGCTGGTCACTGGAAAGAGTGTCTACAGAGACACCAAGTGAGGGCTCAAAGATTTGGGGAAAAGCAGATCCTGAAGACTAACAGTGATTAACGCCAAAGCAGTTTATATTCCCCTTTGCTGCTCCTTAGGCAATTTAGCCAATCTGTCCTTTACTTTGAAAACAGTGCTTTCTAATTCACTCCTTTCATTTATGGGTGGATGGCTGAACATTCCTTTTGCCAAACAGGTCCAGTCTTTGAGATCCTTTTCTCTGAGGATAGGTCCTGGAGGACTGTGCTGCTTTGTTCTCTTCTGATCAGCTTGAACAACAAGAAAGCCAGGTGCAAGATGAGAACAAAAATATCCAAATCCATTTACAAGGCTTAAATAATTTCTGTCTGCTTCCTTGGAGATGGCTGTGGCAATACTAGGTTGGCACCAGATTGCTTTGGCAGGCTCCAGCAAGCCATCATTTTCTGGCACTGCTAATATCCCTCGTGTTCTTGAGTATGGCATGTCCAAGAACTTATGTTGTTTCTCTTCTACTGTCGCAATGGGAATTTTTTTTTAGGCTGCTGCCATTTGATGATTAAGTTCTGGAAACCTTTCAATTCAGAATTTGATGTAGATAATGCATCAACTTATCAGGATAAAGAAGGGTACTGCAGCTGGGTCCAGAGAATCTCTTTTGAAAGAATTAAGTACCTCTCAGCCTTCTTCGTCTTACAACTTAGTAGCTGAGTCTAAAGCAGCTCATTACCTGATGAGCCTGAATGTATTAGGTGAAGCATACATGTTCAGGATACCTGAATGTGGCTGGGCTTCATTAGGCAGTGTGCAACAGCCATTTGGACCACTGTTGATAGAGTACACACACCATACAGAAATGGGGAGGACACCAGACATCATGGGATGTCACTTTATCAGCAAGATCACAGACCCCTTTTTAACTCCCTTCAAAGAGTTTATTTCCTTCCTCTGGCTCACACTGAGCTCCCAACGGAGAGAGGAAGGATGAGCAGGAGATGGTTTTCTTCTGCACACAGCAGAAGCATAGGATGTAAAGCGTGGACATGAAAATCTGGGAACACGAACAGGCATTGCTAACCAGTGCAGGTTTTGCAGCGGAGCTTTTTTTTAAACAGCTTCAGCCAGTCTAGGAGAGGTCACTGTTATACTGATCCCAGCAGAGACGGCGCAGCCCCACATATTGTTTCAAGTTGAGATGCTGGATACCGGATCTATAGATAGCAGTCAGATAAAGATTGCTGCTACCATGAAGGAGGTACTTCTTATGGGAGGCGCTGAGTGCTCAGTGTAAAGCAGGGAGTATTGTTGGCAATACAGTCTTAGCTGCTGGGGTAAATCACAGTAATTCCTCTTTATCCTTGGTTCTATGGAGCACATACATGAGCAGAGACTTGCCCTCTCAAGTCTGATGCTGAGATAACTGCAAATGAATGAGAAGCCTCTGAGATGAAGCTTTGTGTCAACATGAAATACAGTCATCATTTACCGTGGCCTGAAAGACACTGAGTGAGGCTTTTCTCAAATTCAGTCATGGTCTCAGAGACATATATCAAACTCCCCAGCAGGAAGGTTTTTGTCTTCTTTCCTTTCTGACTATGTTTGGAAACAAATGACAAACAAATCTTCCTAGGAAATATCCTTTGTGGGGAAATGTGCCCTTTTCCTTGACAGAAAGAGCCACTTGGCTGGATATAGTGGTGTCACCTGAAAAAAGATTTTACTTCTGGTGACTTAGCTTCTGTCTTGATCATAGTATTTCCAGGGATGTTATCAAGAATGACAAAAAACTAATCAATTTTAATACCCTTTGTATAATAACCTTCAAATAAATAAAACATTTAAATAGCTACTCTAACATAAAAGTGAGGCTAGTAATTTAAACTAAGTAGCTAAACTAAACTAAATAAACTAATATACTGCCCACGAGAGATTGCCAGGATTTTCTCTCACTGTACTGATCAGTGAGCAGGAACGCGAGGGAAGGCAACCCATTCCACTTTTTATTTCTTGGGTGGCTGGAAGTGTAGATCCCTAAAGCCAAAGAGAACTGGATAAAAATAAGGCACATAGTCACCACGAGAGAAATTTTGAGGCAGAAATTCAATATGGTCCAGACCAGTTGAGAATTCAAAGAAATATACCTGAAAAACTGATAAATATTATTAATAGAACAGTGAAAAACCTTACTAACTAGAGTGAATTCAGTGAAATTGTTCAAGAGGACAAACAAACAAAAATAAGCACCCCTGATGGTGCAGACAATAAGGAACTAATCAAATGGTCAGATTAAAACATCTAGGGCAAAAGCTGTACAGAAAACAATGAACATTCTTAATTTAAAACATGATACAGATATCATGTAACACAGTGTTGAAGTACTTACAATGTCCATTTTGCAAATGAGCCCTTCTTTTCTCTTCAGATTTCATTTTGGCCTTTATGTACCACTGGCATCTTTTAAGAAAAACAAGTGAGGTTTTAATTAAAATACTTGTCATGCAAAAAACAGATGTACATTAAGTTTTATCTGCACTTTTATGAAAGCCAGAATCTTTGCATTTGGAATATGTATTTAGTTATGAATCCAAAGAGAGAAATATGCATGAAGAACTACAAACAGATTAGATACAAATAAAAGTAAATCATGGTTGAACGATTAGTATGCAAATGACTACTTAAGTTCAAGTCTGATGCAATACTTTATTTCCAGCTTTGACTCCTGCAAAGAATCCTGATAGTTTAATAAATTATTACTTCCCTGCATTCTTGTTTGCATACATTGGTTTGTGCTAATTAAACCTTATTTTATTAACTTTCATATCCAGTGGATCAAAAAAGCTCACATTTTCTTCATAAAGTAATAGTTACTACAACTTCAAAAAGTTTCATGAAAAAAGAAAATACTTTTTCACATCAGGACCACTGTTCTTTTTTTCTGAGTTGCTCTGCGCAGTCTGAGCCAGGCACTGACTTATTATTTCTTCTGAGATAGCAGCTCTCATACAGGATAAACAATACGTAGCCTGCTATGTGAACATAATGGTTTAGCATATGCCTGTATGATTGCTATAAAAGCGCAATTCCTTGCCAAACAACACAAAACTCCGTGGCTGTTCATGAATTGTTAGCAACCCTACCCGACAATGCAAGGGTATGTTGGAGAAAACTGCCACATGGCAAGCTTTCAGTTCCCTGTAACGAAATCTCCCCCGGCCTGAATGCTGCCTACCTGCAGGACTGTTAATGCTGATTTAGAAGGTCACATAATAGGAGCAACTGTCAAGAAAAACCAAAACATTTGCTCTTGGTCTTAAAGCTCTTTCTCACTCACTGAACAGCCTAAGAAGTATGATTTAGAGGGAAACCTTTTGGTCTCAGGGCTAGGCTAAGGGCTAAGGGCTGTTGGGGCACTGACCCCAGTGGAGAACAGCAGCGTGTGTGGACATGTGTTTGGGTGTACAGACATGCAGTTCCAAGACCAGCTTGAAAACATGACTGGCCTCTGTGTGTTTATTACCAGCCTTATAAAATAAAATACACTATAATTATAGGTTGTATAGCCAGTAAAATGCTAACAATGGAGATATGAGAAATATGTGAACCCACCTCATTTCAATGGTTCATTTAAATTACTGAAACAGAGTAGGAGCACTCACAAATGCATTCATTGCTACAGAGGTCATGATGAACACTCGAAGGGCAGAAAATTCTGAAGTTGTTGTGGTTATGTACCCTTACGGAGGGAAACGGCAAGCAGTGGATTCTCAGCTTCTGTGGAAATCTTTAGATCGTACACCAGTTGCTGGGACCACTGAGCGTGCCAGTGCCATTTTTAGCACCTGAACAACTTGTCTGTAGGGTGCCAACCACCAAGAACACTGAACACAAGCTCTTACACTTGAAGTGTCTGCCCAGGGGAACAGTCAAAGAAACAAGGCTTTAACCCTGTCCAACCCTCCTAAGTACACAAGTGGCCCCAACGTGTGACTACAGAAGCCAGTGACTAATCACCAGCAGAGGAGTCCTCCAGCTCCAGCTCCCCATTCCCTGTTCGTGTTGGCTACAGAACAATCGGAGAGGAATAATTTCTGTAACGATAACAATAAATCACACTGAGCTTTAACATGGCATTTTCTGGAATTTAGCCAAGACCCCCGTCTCACTGCATATCCTGTGCCTCGACGTCTCTGGCGCTTTCATTTTTCTATCTGCAATTGACAGCCGTGCTTCCTGCTTGCGCTTGGTGGATAATCACTCAGCCAAGTGCAAAGGCAGGTGCTCATTTAACCCAGCCTCTTCACTATGAATAGACTCATCAGCAGCCCTGTGACTCGACAGCTCATCAAATTGCTAATTCTAAACAGTGAGGCAGAGCACATCTGTAGGGTACCAATCCCATTTTTCATGCAGAAATTTGCCTCCAGTCCTAGAGTAAATTGAGTATTTATTCAAAATTTTCTTGCTCTGTCTTCTGCGGAAGACACTCTTATCACTGCATTTAAGCAGCACTTCAAAATTAATTCATATCTTACATAATTGAAATGGTCCCATTGAGTAAGACGCGAGAAAGCTAAGAGAATCTCTGATATCCTTAACATTAGCAGACAGGAGGAATAAACACAGAGAGAAACCCATTTCCATATTTTTTTTCATTCCTGAGTTTAGTGAGATTTTTCTAAAGGAAGCGTTTGAGTTATGTTTCAGATTTCCAGGCAAGGATTCCACACAACCATTTTCTCCGAAAGTTTGTCTTTGTCTGAGTAATTCCTCCCTCTTCTGAAAGACCCTACTGTTTGTCAGTGTTTGTAGAAATCATAGGAATATTTACTTAGCTTCTAAGATTATCTAAGGTCACAATATGCTCCAATGTTAACTGCTCCCATTAACTTCAACAGAATGTTAGACTTCACTGATTTTATTATTTAGCAGAGAGAGCATTAATTCACATAATGGTAGCTACTGTAGTGCCATATTTTGTTGCTGGGGTACTGCAAATAAAGCCTCCAGCCTACACTGCTAGAACTTTACTTTCTTCGCAAAGTAGAGGTAATGCTATACCAACAAAACAGAAACTTAATTACAAATCCGAAAGCGCAGCACCGTCTGTTGCTATCAGCCCCGTCTGTGATGACCATTATCACATTCAGAGGAGTCAGTGTAACATCTTTTCTCTAAGTGTAAACACGGGCTCTCAGCCAGGACAGGAATAGTGCAGAATCTTAGCCCAGCTCTGGATTTTTTCTGTCCCCAAGCCAGGTAAGAAGGAAACCCCACGGAGAATCCTCCTCACACGGAGGCTCTTCCCCCGGCTGTCTTATGTGCCCGAAGGAGGGAGAGGGGAAAGGGGCAGAGAGGGGCAGAGCCCACACAACCCCCACTGCAGAGCTTCCTGCAGGAGCCATGAGCCCAGCTCTGCTCGAAGGCCCATACCTCTACAGAATATCAGCCTGGCTTTAGGCCGCCTTGATCCATGGCAGCACTGCAGTGCCATTGACGTCTCACAGAGGAGACGGGGACGTAACGTCTTTGTCCTTTTAAATTCTGCTTTGCTCCCTGGTGGAAGCAGGTGAAGTCCTGAAATCGCACAGGAAACACCTGGAGGCTCAGTGAAAAAGGAAGCAAGGCACCATGGAAGCAGCCATGCCCATGGGAATCTAAGATCCAGCAAGGGCTGATGTGCCAACCTCTATGTGCATTTTTTAGCAAGTCCAATTAGAATTTGTGAGTTCCCTTAAAACCTTCAGTGTGTAATTGAGCATGGCATCTGGCCACTTAAATCAAAATGCTGTCTCATCCAGTTTGCATAATGTCGTTATCTGATCCTGATCAACACATCAACTGAAGGAAGGTGGACAATCAGCACTGTACTAAAAGAATTGTTAACTATAAGAATCAGGGTAGTTATAAAAAAATAATCATTGTCCAGACCGGTCAATTCTCCAGCCAGTGCAACAGTACTGCTGTAATGTAGTTTTAATTGCGATATCTTCAATCCAATTAAAAAAAAAAAAAAGCCAAAAAGCTATAAAACAGGACCTTCAGGAAACCATTTTCTGTTCACAAGTGATATCACAGGCAGTAGAATCATTATAGTATTTTGGAGTAAAGTTTTCCTGAGTTTAATTTCATTACATAATTCTTATATTTTCTCTTAATAGATGCAGAAATGTGCATATAAAATATATGCATAATTGTGTATGAGTTTTCCTACAAATTTAATATAGTAAAAGTAATAAAAAGTTGTCCGCTCAAGTGCCTTTAGCAAGCTACATTGCCAACCCCAAGACATCAAAAATCCTAAGGTTACACCCTCCAAACCTTCGCAGTTGGCAGGTATAAGATTTTGTAAAAAATACTGTGTTTTTTTATTTTTTCGCTTTTTGTCCTCTAACGTCAGAGCCTTGAGGTTGCAGTTACATTGTATTTTGCAATTCTTGCTCTGCAGGCAAGAGGTTCAGAAACTTACTTTAAAAACAGCCAAGGCATTTCCTGTTTTCACATAATTGCTTAGCTCCCCAAACTGGGTTTTTACAAAAAACAACAGTCGCAATAGAACTGTGAGTATGAGCAGTGCTGAGCAAAGAGGACATTCACCCCGCTATGCCTAACCTTTATTTTAGCACTGAAAAATGTGGTGAATGACTTAACTATTATTCTTAAATTCTTAGTTTTGGATGACACTGACCCTGAGTAAACGAGAACACTGTAGTGTTAATTACCTCCCGGTGATCAGGAAGAACAAAGTGAGGATGACCAGGAGAGTGAATCCACCAACAGCAGCAGTGGCAATTACAAGAATCTGCCCCTGCTCCGCAGCCATATCAGAAGCTGAAAGAGAAGCACAAAGAAAAGAGGTTAAAGCTCCATCACCCAGGGTTCTTGCAGAATGGGTGATATAACATTTCACTGGGCAAATGTTGCAATTATTCTGTAATAGTTTCCTCGGTGCTTAGCAAGGACATCAGATGCGAATGTGCCTGTGAAGTGAAAAACCGTAACCCATGTCCCAACTATGATGAAGGGGAGAAGAGGTTTACAGGTTTTTAAAATGAGGAGCTGGCATTATCAGACACTTGCAGTTTACTGAAGTTTGAATATGACAGGATTTTGGACACAAAACTAGAACATATTTATTCTTTAGCTTTATTTAGCTTAATGCTGCATCTAATTCAGAACTCTCCATCCAACTGTCCCAGTGAAGTCAGCAGCAGAGCTATGTATGTAAGACATATTAAACTGGGTTCAGGAGAAAGCAAAGCGGAAAAAGCACACAATGCGTAGCCTCACACACTCTTCTGTACATCTGGTGTTTATTTTTATTGTCACAAAATGTATACAGTTTTACCTATAACATACTCAGGTGATTGGCAACATTGCAGTTGAAAAAAAAAATACTGATTTTCTTATGCCTCATGTTTTTCTCTCTGCTTTTCGTAAGACATTTAGGAGTTAAAAAAGATCCCCTGAAATTATCCAGTCTCTAGACACTTGCTCTTTTTATTAATTTATTCTGTATAATATTAAATATTTATATTGACAAAGTACCTACTTACGGTCCGGTTGGTCCTCACTGTCCAAGTACTACATGAGCAGAAAAAGAATTAGGCTCTGTTTTTTCTCTATCTCCTGTCTTGTGACTCCAAAGTTTTATTTCTTAAACTCAGTTACACTTGAACATTTTCACCACATGACGTTTACCTAATTCTTACTTACTGTTTCCATGAGAAACATAACATTGTTCTGAAAAGAGAATAAATAATTCTATTCAATGACCTCTGGCAACTGTAGTAAATGTAGAAAAGAAAATAAATTTTAGATTTATCAGGAAAGCAACTTCGATTCTGTGAAATTGCAAACTGTTCTATAAGCAAAATCTTCAGCTTTCTTTAGGCACCAGATGATTAAAGCTTAGGGAAATCACCTAGGTTGCTGCAAAGAGAAAGCTCAGCAGGCTATATTCTCTCCCTTTGCAGCTGATGAAGCCCAATACAATGCACACATTGCTGCCCAAAGCCTCATAAAATGCTGTTTCCCAGAAAAACACTTGGCTTTGAAATAGTATTTGTGAGTGGTTTAGAAATTAGCAATGTAAACTGGCTTTGTAATAGTAGTAAAGCAAATAAAAACAATAGTAGTTTATGTCAAATTTTCAGCAAAACCAACTTGTTAAATTTCTGCCATTAGGTTTCTGTCCATATAATTTAATGGAGATATGCACAGGCAGTAAATTACAAGGCATTCAGTATTTGTGGTCATAAGCTCTCCACAGACAAGTTAAATATATACATCTTCCAATAAATGATGTAGCAAATACTCACTGAATAGCTAATCTCCAAAATGGTATCTAGTGATATCATGGGAGTGGATTCTAGCTCTGCATTGTGTTATGTTCCACAGGGTCAGATTTAGTTGGAAAAATACAACATAACAAATATCATGCCACACAAGTAACAATGCAAATAATAACAGGCTCTCCAAATCAAACGCTGAATACTATTTTCAGACTAGCAGGGGTTGTGCTAAATGTGACAAAGATCGTTGCAGCCAGGCACAGTTTGAAGTTGTAAATGGAGGAGGAGGTTTTAGATTAGTCTATCTCTGCAATGGTAGTGAAAGGACAAACTGCAGCCCTCTCTTTTTCTTTTTTATTAGGAAAAAAAGAGGTGTGCAAAACCAGTGAATT